TTGAGTCAATCGATTTGCTTATTCGATTTATCCTATTCAGCTATTTCTTTTTCTTTCCTTCATTTTCATATTATATATGAAGTTTAGTCAATGGATTTGCTTATTCAATTTATCACATTCAGCTATTTCTTTTTCTTACCTCCGTTTTCATATTATACATGAAGTTAAGTGAAACTTTTTTAGTTTATGCATATTCGATAAAGAAAATAGTTCTCTTTTCTTTTGCGTTCTATTTTATATAAAATTGAATATTTAGTTATCATTGGACATTTATTTTATGAAAATGATACAATCATGTTTTTCTTCTTCTCATGAAATAAATAATTAATGTTGTTTTTTCGAAATATGTTTTAAATTATCATACATTGATTTTATTTTGATTTTGAGTTTTAGTTTTTTTGAATTTTTCATTTGTATCACTTTCTAAATAATCTATTTGTTGATTTGGTATTATCTATCATTACTTTTTATTTCTTTATTTCATTTTATTTTTGTTTTTTTTTGAATATAGACAATTATGTATCAAATCATTTATTATCTATTTCTATAGATGTCATTCAGTTATGTTTTATTTTAGTATTCTTTCATTTTCGTAGATAGATAAAATAGTCGAATGAATCTAATAGTGCTGATTGACTTCTTATCATTCGACAATTTCATTCATTTGTTTTCTTTACAATTTAATTTTTGAATAATCTTTTTTTTTATTTTGAGTGTTGTCATGCAATAACCATCATTTCGAAGCGTTATTTTTCTCATTGATTTTCATATTTGATCTATATATTATGGAATTTTTTTTCTGCTATTCTATTTGTTTAGAGTCAATGATATAATTCGAAGAACGACAATATATGTCAATAAATCTTGATAAATTTTTCATAGATATGTTTTTGTCAATTTTTATTATTTTAAACAGATATCTCATTTAACTTGTATTTCGTTTTCATGTTGTTTGAATCTTGAATTTGTTATTTCAATAATGACAACAAATGATCATATGTTGTATTTTATCTTTTTTCATTTTTGTTGATTATATATTTTTCGTAGAATTATTTCATTTGATTTTATATGATTTGTAAATAAGAAAATAAATAAATAGATATATTAATTGATTTGCTTATTGAATGATATCTATTTTAGTTTTCATACATATATAAGAAATCTATTTGTTGTTCACATTTGATATATTAATTGATCACTGTCAAGATATTATTGTTATGTGTTTATTATAAAATATTTTATTTTGAACAATAATGAAGAAATTTCATACAATCGAAAATATATCTATGAAAATTTTTGGTTATTGAATTAATCGATCTGTTAATAGGAAGCTGTTGAATAGTTTGTAATAGACTTTATGAAGAAAAGTTTAAAAATTAATTGTATTGAATATGAAAAAAATGATATTGATTTCACTTTTATTTATAGAATAAAAGTAAAGTCCTCGACACATTAGAAGACTCTCATAATAGAGGATCTCCCTTGAGTAAACGACGCAAAAGATAAATTAGAACACGCCGCTTCTTCTAATAGTTGTTATTTTAGTATCATGCTTATATTTTTTGTTTCTATATGTATATTTGTAATCTTCGCTTCAAAAATATTTTTCTGCTCTTTCTGATGTTGAAGATGGTCTGTACTTGAATAATATAAAATCTAATTAACGAATGTATGTATATAGGATGTGAAAAACAATGTCTCTTATGATCAAGTTCAGTTATTTTTCAATTACATTCTTTTTTTCCACAAGCAATCAACTACATGATTGTTTGCATTACTAAATAAACATGAAACATCTCTTATAGATAATGATCTAAGCTCAAATTCTTATCAACTCTCATTAAATATCAATCATTATCACATTGATCAAGAATCTAATTCAGACGGAGATGAGCCAATTACAAATGCAATAATGAAAACTCAATATAAAGGGTTGATCTTGAAGGATATACCGGGAAACTAAAAGTCTATTTTTTTGTCTATTTGTTCGTATGAAATTGCAATATTTTACAAGTGAATTCTTTTCTCCTGTGAAAAATGTACCTACTGTGAAGTATCAATTAATCGTATTTTGTGTCGTTTAGTACATTTTCTAATAAAGATACTTGTTTTGCGAAATGTTCTTTAGTAATTGAATATAGTCTTTTTTAATTTTACTAGTGTGAAAAAGTCAAATAAACGTTAGTAACAATATAACCTGCATAAAAAGAGTTGTTTATAAAACTTATATCTTTGGGAGTAAGAAACAAATGGCTTTTTGGTACTGCACGAGTATTGAACTTAAGAACAATGTATTCGTTAAAGAATTCTATATTGAAAAGAAATTATGGACTCTAATAATTTTCGTATATCGGAGAAATATGTTCTTCTCTTAGGTGATCTCGAAATTCTTAAATTTCTTCTCTGTATTCTTTTCCAGTTTTGTCGAATAATTTTTCGTTCGACCAATATTTCGCACACTCTTCGAATCGGTTGTATCACCTCGGCTGATTGTCGTCTCGAGATTTCTTTCTGATATATCGCCCGTACTTCCATTATCGCGATTGTCCTATTGGTGATACACAAACAAAGATGCGTTGGAAACAATTCAAAATTGCACAAAATGAATCTCTCTCTCCCTCGTAAACAAACATATTGATTTCAAGTTTGAATATACTGATCGAACAGAGAATTCTAAACCAGCAGAATTTAAAAAAGAAGTATCATTCTTAAACTTGAACCAATGATTATTGAAATGAATATCCTAAAAATCGATAAAAGTCCCTTCAAACCCCAATATTGATTATTGAATTGAGTTCTTTAATCTCTGAGATACTCAACAGAATCTAATACTATTCAGAATTGAATTTTTCAACTAAAATGATACAATGACCGATGTATTCGAATGAAATATTATTGATTTTGTCTGAAACGATGATAAAAATGAATAATCACAATGATGAGCAAAGAAAAAGTTACTCTAAAATAGAAGATCGAAGAAAAATAAATCTGATGTTGATGTTTGATGTGGAATCTATTTCATCTGTTTCTTCAATGCTTAAATTTCCATGATAATCAATTTATCAAGGCATCATTCTAAATGAAGCTAAGAAATTAGAAGTTGAACATTGTTAATGAAAAGAAGTCAATAGAATAAATACGAAAGAAGTTTTGAAAGAATTTATTTTTTAAAAATCCAATATCAACAACCTAAATGGATCAGTTATCTTAATGAAGAATCAGTTTATATTTCTATTAATCCAAACAGATAGTTCTGTCTCTTGCTTATCAATATACTTCATATCAAAGATTTAATTTACGTGTTTCTTTTTTAAACCAAGGATAACAATATTTATAATCATTTATTGGTTATAGATAAGCTTTTAAATTGGATAATTTTGGTCAATGATCTAATAAAAATAATAAATCATTCGTTTAATCAACATTACATTTAAGTTGTTCAACATTTTAAAATATTTTGCAAAACTCCTCAAGTTGATGACGAAATTTAAACGAACAAGAACCATATTTGTATAAGTCAACTACTGCATTTTGTGTAGCCAACCAACAGAATTCGAAATACGAAAAGTTGTTTTCATGTTTATTACATTTTCTGTTAGTTAATTCAAATGAAATATTTGTTAATATTTGGCAAAATTCACTTTTTCTCATTTTGATACATACATACAAAATCAGACAAGAAAATCAATTTGTTATCTATTCGTTCTTTGAATCCATTTTTGAGAACAATGAAAAAAAAAGGCTACATATAAGAATAAAATATATATTTGTTAATATTAATAATTAAAATTATTTTTATATTCATTAAATACACTAAAATGAATATATCTACTCAAACGCAAAAAATAAGAGAAAGTCAAACAGGATATCACGGAAAAGAGAAAATATTATTTTGAGGACAGAAAAAAATCCACTGCAAGTCGTGTGAAAAAACAAATATCTAAATATATTGTTCTTTTTTTTTGTGTCTATACGTGAAAAAAAAAATGAGATTCACCAATCAAAAAAGAAAAAAAAAATTATCAATCATATACCATCGGTTTATATTCATTTCATTCGTTGTATTTTTCAATCATATAAAGAGATTCAAAATTCTTAAAAAACACGTACCATCGCCATGCGATCTTTGCCAACACCAATCCATTTCACTAAAAACAAAAACAAAAAAGATTTCTTAAAGAAAAACAAAACACCAAAATACAAACCAGGGACACCAAGAAATTGTTCAATAAATTGTACATAAAGTCTTGCATTGTGTGGTAATGCATTAAATGTACGACATTCAGATGTTGAGCGTCCACGCCAACCAGGAAACGTAACATATTCAACCTCAATATCATGCATTGTATCAACCGATGCTATTCAACATTTAATAAAAATATAAGAAAAAAAAAATACAAAGATTTATTCAAAATATTCTTACCAGGAAAATTTGGTAATTCAACACCATTTCGTTTATATGTTGTTGCAACTTTAATTTCTGCTAATTCATCAAGTGTATCAAGTTTAGTTAAACATAAAGCTGTAAAACCATTTATCATATTTGTATATTTAAGTAAAACAAGATCAAGCCAACCACAACGACGTTTTCGACCTGTTGTAACACCCCATTCACGACCACGTGTTTGTAAATGTTCACCGATTTCCTATCACATAAAATTCAATCATTTTATAAAAATTTAATTAATAGTTTCTTTTACATTTTTAAGTTCTGTTGGAAATACACCATCACCAACACGTGTTGTATAAGCTTTAACAACACCATAAATATCTCCAATATATTTTGGTGGTAAACCAAGACCTGTGCATACACCTCCGATACTACAATTTGATGAAGTTACATATGGATATGTACCTTGCAAAACAAAATCACATCAATCTATAAATTATATGTATAAATCAATAAATATACCAAAATCAATATCAAGCATTGTTGCATTAGCACCTTCGACAAGAATTTTTTTTGAACCATCAAGAATAGCTTCGTTTAAATAAGATATTGTATCGATTGTCATCGGACGAAAATATTCGGCAAGTTCTTTAAATTGTTCGATTGTTTTTTCAATATCATCTTCCAAATCAGGAAATGTTAATTTATAATAATTATGAAGACTTCGTAATCTATTATAAATACAAATATAGTTATAAATAATTCTCTTAATAAATGATTCACTTTTCAGCAAAAATTGTAAAATCACCCATTAAATCAATCATACGTATACCATTTCGTGTTGCCTAAAATTAAAATTTATTTAAAATCATTATGAATATCAATATTATTTTACTTTAGATGAATATGTCGGTCCTATTCCTTTTTTAGTTGTACCAAGACTAACAAATCATTACTTTTATTATAGAAAAAAAAAACAAATCGATCTGTTATTACTTACCTACCCTTACCACGTCCACGTTCTATTAATCCATCGGTTTGTTTATGAAAGTCAAAAACTAAAACAACAAAGTTGTTAGCATAATCCCTGCGGGATTAAAATGCAAGACACGATATAACTTCTATTGCTAATCACAGGAAGATTTTTGTATTCTATTTATTTTGCGATACATTTCTTTTCCATTCTTTTATTTAACCCTCTAGAAATGCAATCAGAAAGTGATTCATATATTAGAACGAAACATGATTGATATACGATCTGTGATGATTTGTTGCTAAGATGCCTGTCTAATCTGCAGGATGTACAGTGTGCATTTTTTTTGCAAACAGTTTTTGAGAAAAAATTTTTTCGACGAAACATATCTGAGAAGAATCCTTGGCCTCATCTTTTGAGGAAATTTTTTTTCTTCAAACTTGCTTTGTCTTATATATATTTCGACGCAGTTTCAGGCGCTGATTTCGAATATACTATTTTTGACGATTAAATCTTTTTCCAAAGCCAGAAAAACCTAGATTTTTTCGGAACTCACTGTGCAGTCTAGGAATGATTGCGCTAACAAGCATTAGAGATAACAGATAGAATAGTATTCTCGCAAAATTTGGAGAAGTTTGAAGGTTGGATTGCTCATTTAACGGAACTAGCCCTTCGGATAATACTAGAAAAAAATATTCTTTTTTTTCTCAGAAGTTCAACGTGTCAATTAAAAAAGATTTGTTCTCAATGACATCACGATTTTCAGGTAACTAGTTTTTCAATTTCTTTTAGAGTTGTAACAAAGTTATTTATACCATTAGATAGACTATATTTTGAAGTATATTTTCCTATATTGAAAACCTTGAAAAAGTGCAATTTCCATTTTTAGTCAAATGTTCGTCTATATATGCCCACTGTGGGAAGGGTGAGAGGGGGGGGGGCGCGGGTCAAGTCCAAATATCTACTTCTATACTTCAATATTCTTTTTAGATCGTGTTTCACAAAATGAACAAAAATTATATCACAATTGATATACCTAAATGTGCTCGATCAGAAATAAGTAAACGTTTCGACCAATTTGTTACACCACGAGATTCATTCTTTTTTATTTCTTCTACTAATTCTGGTAAATTTACCACACAACCATTACCTACAAAATATACATTCATGTTTTTTTTTATCATTTTATTTATTTACCAATGATATTAACACAATGTTCTAAATGAAAACCTGATGGTAGCATATGAAAATCATATTCAACACCACTAACTACAACACTATGGCCAGCATTGTTACCTCCCTATTATTATTTATATTTAAACAAATGTTTAAGAAAAATTTGCTTTACTTGACAACGACAAACTACATCAGCTTCAGATGCCAATAAATCAACAAGTTTGCCTTTACCCTGACAAAAGACAAAAAAAATATATATTCATAAAAAAAATTTCATTATCAATTATTTCAACTTACTTCATCACCCCATTGTGCACCAAGAACGATGGACACCATCGATGGCATTGGAAATGGATGAACCGTTGCACTCTCACGTCGCAAAGCTGTTATAGGACGTGATGCCATCCAATTATTTTAATCTATAAAATTGAAACAGATCGTTTGCTTTTTTTTTCTTCTCTATAGGATAAGTTTGTTTATCTAAGATATAACGCCAAAGTTTTCAAAAAAAAAAGAGAAGGAAAGAAAAGAAATAACTATTTGAAGAAATGAAAGAAGTTGCAAGAAACATACTCTCTCAGACATACAAGCAACACTTTACTATAATAAAATGCACAAGAATGTCAATAGCAATAATAACGATAGAACGTTGAAACGATCCACAAAAAGAATCGATATGGTTTTTTTTGTCGATTAGTTTTATAGTTTTATTTAACGTCGATTACCAAAATTTCGGACATTTCTATTGGAACCTCGTCCTCGCATTGATGAATTATTGTTATGGTTATTATTACTACTGCTATATGAAAATGTTGAACCAGGTTGCTTATTCATTGATTGGAAATGATTAGCATTATGACCACGACCACGATTATTATTTCCACCTCGTGATGATCCACGCCATGGTGCTTGAGATGATTGTTCCATTTGATTTTGATGTCCAAAATTTCCATAACGTGGTTCTTCATTACTAAATGATGGTCCGCTGGATCGTCCATAAGTATTCGATGAACTATGTCCTAATGATGAACGACCATAGTCATCGAATGTATGTGATTGTGGTGCTACTGAATTTTGTGTATTTGTTAATAGTGGATACATTGATGAAGCAGTATTACCAGTCGCTAGACCAGATGATGCTCGATAATCAGCATAGGAACGTATAGGTGGACCATTTGTTCCCATTTGATTTTGCTGTTGTTGATTACCAGCAGATGAAAAATAAGATGAATTTGTTGTATTATTACTATTATTATTAACTCCAAATGCACTCAATGAATTTTGATTTTGATAATGTGATTGACCCATGATTGGTGCTGTTGATTGTTGATGTTGAGAACGTTGAAGATTATTGGCAACATGCTGAATAAGTTCGTTTGTTGGACCTGTATGAGCTCGATTATGAGAACGATGAGATGAACCAGCGAATGGAGGTGGATTTGGTTCTGGATGATATTCAGCAACAGCCTAAACAATGAAAAAAACAAAATAATAATAATAATAATAATATAGTTCTTTTATTAAATTATCTAAATTAATTTAAAGAATAATAAATGAACAAACCTTTGCAACGGCACGTATAAAATTTGGATCATAATTTGATTGTTGATTATTATATCCTCCACCACCACCACCATTAAATCGTGATTGTTGTTCATGTTCATAATTATTTCCTCTAGACATAAGATGTGATGGTCTACCATCACCACCACCATAATATCCATTATTATCTGATACAAGTGATTGTAATTCAAAATTTGATCGTTCAAAAAATTCTTCACGTTGATGACCAATTGAATGACGAGATGATGACCAACGATCATTTCCATTATTATATGGTGCTGATCGTCCATAAACATATTGATCCATTTCATAATTTCTCATTGGTCCTGAACCACGATTTGCACCTGGAAATGAATTATTAAGATCAGTACGAAATCGTTTATTTGGTGGACCCGTAACGGGAAATGTTCTTTTAACGGCTGCTCCTAAAAAATAAATAATATAAAAGTAAATAAGTCTAATATAAAGGTGTAAGCCAATACATCGGACGACGGCTACAAAAGTCTCAAGTATCGGTGGTGGCGACTGAAAGTTTTCAATAAATTTTCTTAGTTTTGTGAAATTTTGGAATGAAAAAGAGAGAAAACGATGGTAGAGGACTTATTGAAAAGAAACCGAATGGTAACATATCGAAAAAACTGATTAAGGATGTCGAAAATTTTTGAAAATCAAATATCTGGTTTTTTTAATAGAGAAGATATACCTCGATGAGCAGCTGGTGTTTGAAATTGTCCTCCTCGTGTATTATTAAATCCACCACGTTTTTTTTGTTGATTTCTTGCTGTAGTATTATTATTTCGTGAATTTTGTGTTGTACTTTTCGTAGCAGATGATTTTGGTTTTCTTGATGATTTAACATTTACAATACGAGTAGCACCTTCGCATGTATCAAAAGGATAATTGCGTAAAAATGATGTTGTATCATCATTAAGTTGTTCACGTGCTGCACAACGCCATTGATAACGACTTTTAATATCATCAGGAATTTCTGACAATTGTGTTATACCATTAAATTTAAATATTGAAGGAAGTATAACAACATTCGCAAAACGCTAAATCAAAAAAACAAACAAAACAAGAAATGAAAATATAAACAAAAAACAAATTCCATACAACAACAAGATCTTTATGATCAGATGATGTTTGTTTATGTTTGTGTTCAACAGTATGTAAATGCTAAAATAAATTATTTTTGTTGTTTTGCTAAAAATGAAAACAAAAAAAAAATTTACCTTTTCTAATGCCCATTGATCTGTAAAAACTAATTCACAATAAGCACAACAAAAACGTCCACGATTTGCAAGACTATTTGGTGCAAGATAAAGTCCCATAGTTGCTTTATAATCATCATAAGTATTTGTACCCATTATTTCCTTCATTGATTTACCACTAATTAACGACTAAAAATAACAAATCATTAAAATAAAGAAAAAAAACAAATCTTTCAACAAAAAAACAAACTTTTTGCATAGCTTGACGCCATGGTAAAAAATTAATTTGATAATGACGAAACTTTTCTAAATGTTCTAATCCATTGAGATGCTAGAAAAAAATCAATTACTATAAATATATTTTATTTTATTTATATTTACTTGTATACAATATTTTTCTGATGTTAAAAAAATTGAGCAAATATCACAAAAGAATGTATTCTTTTTTTTAAAACTTCGTCTAGCAATACCAGATAGAAATTGTTGTTCACGTTTTAATTCACCACATTTCGAATAAATCTCAATAATAATATTATTTAAAACATCCTAGCAAAATATGAAAATAAAAATAAAAAAAAAAAACAATAGTTTTTTATCGAAAGTCAAATGAGATATGAATAAAGAAAAATACATATTCTATGTTCTCTCAATAATACATTACAAATATTTTTATTCTCAATATTTCTTAATTCGAAAATGAAATTTCGCATAATTACCTTGCAAATATTTATAATGTCATCGACAAACGACGGTGGTTCATCAACATCGATTTTTTCTGTTTTTAATATCTCATGTGTGGTCATAGCAGTATTCTGTTCCACACCGTTGTCTTCATTGCTATTCTTAGCAGAAGACATATTACCGTTTTCAAACGGTTCATCTTGTTGCTGCTTCTTTATCATGACCTGTGACTGATCTTTGGCCATAGTAAAAATAACAGAGCTCTTTTGAGCATTGTGATGAATGTTATCGGGCGCAATTTTTTCTATAAAATTAAATATATACACACGGAATATATATTGTAACAGTTGTGAAGAAAGAAAAAATTTAAAAAAAGAAAAGAATAAACTCAATATATAAGTCTCTTTTCATTTGAACAATAAAATTGCTCATTTATATATATATATATATATATATATCAAGACAACAAAAGAATGTTTCGATATAAATCAACTATTATACTTATTCGTATTTGATAAAGAGAATATTCTTTATTACAGAAGCTTACTCTTAATATAATATATTTCCATAGGTAATGCTGCTATATCATTAGCACGATCCGTAATCATTTCTTTAAGAAGTTGTTCGCGAATTTGAGCTGTAGTTGTACCAATTTTGGAATAAGTTTTATCTTGAAAGACAAGTGTAACTTGTAAATTTCGTCGTCTACGTGTATTTGTTGAAATTGATTTTTGTTGATTATTATTATTATTATTAATTTCATTTTTTTCTGTTTCAGATTTATTATTAGTAGATGATTGATTTTGTTGTGATGATAGATCAGATTCTTCATTTGTATGTTTGTAAAGAAAATGAAATTTATCACTTTGATAACAAAACTAAACAGAAGGAAATAGATTAGATTTAATTGAGAATTAGAATTTAAGAAAAAAAAAACCACTATGAATAAATTACCCATATCGCACTACCATCGGTAGAATGGCGACTAGAAGATAGCCAACCGTTTAAGTATCAAACTACTGCTGGTATAGCATATATAATACCGACTGTTTTTACTCGGTTCACATCACATGAATACACATAAGATTTTGGATGCTTATATATAACGATAGAAAAACTTTCTTTAACCTATCTGTTGACTGTCTCCTTTCTATGAATCTTGCGCATCTAATAGATTTTACATCTGTCTATTTTCGTTTGTCGACCAAGGTCAACTAGACTATGCAATAGATGTGTAGGTTTGTTTTCTTTGTATTAGAAAAGAAAAGGACAAACAACATGCGTTTTTTTCATGAATATTTGCTAGTATCATCATCAAAAGCAATCAATGGTAAATTTTATTAGACTTGCTTTTTTTCCTTTTATGCTTAATTAGAAAAAATTTTTTGAATTAATGGAAAATGTAAATGATTGTTTTTTTCTTAAAATATGAACATCTTCGACTGTGTAAATATTTCTTTTTTTAATACTCACATTATTATGGAAACCTAAATGAATAGCTTGATCATAAATTGATGGTACATAACGCTTTTCATCACATAATTTTTTAACATTTTCACGATGATTATTTTCTAATACATGTTTAGAATATAATGATAATGTTCCACGCATTAAATTACATGCTGAACATACTGGTTGTTGACGAATACGTACAACACCAACATGACCATCCTAAAAAAAAACAAAAACAATCGATTAAATTTATGATATAAAATAATTTCGAGATAATCTACTTACATCAGAATCCTTATAACAAATAACTGAACAATTATCATCATCATTTTGTGCTCTAAAAAGTTATTTGAAAAAACAATTAATTATTTATTTAATTGTATCGCGTAATAACGTACTTGTTATTATTATTATTTGTATTATTATTATTGTTCGTTTGTCGAGTATTCGAAAATTTTCCCCGATTAGTCATTTGAAAGTATTTTATCTAAACTAAGAACCAAGACAAAATAATCATTAATGATAATCATGTAATCAAAATAAAAAGCACGTAAAACAAACAATGTATGATTAGTTATGCAACAAAACAGAGTAAACAAATAGCTGTTTCTAAACCTTTTTTTTCTTCTTCTTGTTCATTTAACAATAAACGGTTAAAATAAATCTACACAATAAAAATACATGGAGGCACTAGTTTATATTCTATTGGACAAATTGTAATCGAATAGAAATATACATTAATTAATATTAGGAATTTTTCATATATTGGTGTAATTTTTATTCAACGAAAAAATTAATTATGCTTTCATCTCGTTTGAACAATCAATTAAAACCATCGTTGGTTTTAGTAATTGGTAAATTATTAATAAGATTATTTTGTACATATTCTGTTTGTTTTTTTCGTAGACCATAATCCATCGAGTTCATCATTAGGTTTTCAATTTGCTTGTGCTTATGCCTGTGAAACTGTTGATAAGTAGGATTTTTGTTTATTTTTTATTATTTAATTACAATTGAATTTTATTTAGATTTTCAAACGTTGACATTCTTTTAACTGAACATGATGAAATAAACTGGTTTCATTCACATGTATTCGCAAATCGTAATGAATTAACATCAAAGTAAATATTAAAATTTTGAAATTCTTAAGTAAAATTTATTTGATAGAATACATGTTATTAATATGTTTGATGATATTCATTCAACGAAAACAATAGAAGAATGTTTGAAAATAAGTAATGAAAAAAATTTAATTATTATTGAATCTCTTCCTTGGTTATTATTACGAACATCAGAAGGAGATTTATCACGTTTATTACATAATTGGAGTAGTAAGATATTGAAATAATTTCAAATAAAGAAAAATAATTTGTTTTTATTGTTATATAGAATCGAATATTGTCATGGCTGTAATACCATTAGATTGTATAGAAGAAAATTCATTTCTTAAAAATCTTATTTCAATTTCATATATAACAATACAAATTAAAAATCTTCCAAAATCCGAAACAATCGAAGCAAGAATTGAACAACGATCACGAACAAATGTTGATACAATTAAATCTGTTTGTTATAAAATTTCAAAAATCTTCTTCATCAAGTTTTCTGTTTTTTTTTTCTTAGTGTTTAACATGTTCAATTGATCGACAATTAAATATAATTAATTTACATGAAGAGAAAATAAGTAATCGAAAATTAAAATCTGCTGCTAATACTGATGGATCTTCTAAAGTAATTCTATAGAATAATTTTGCATTTGAAATACAAATTTTTTTATTAAATTTTAGTCGGATGTTACGGCTAATCTAACATTTAATCTTCGTCTTAAAGATGATGAACTTGTTGCTAAAAATAATCTTGTTTTACCATATACAAAACAACAGTAAGATTATATTTTAATATAAAATTATATTTACTTTAATAAACTTTTTTTAAGAACACAAGTATCAAGTGATAGTTGTACAATACATTATTCATATGATAAAGAAGATGATATTGATGAAGATGAAGATGATGATTTAGATTTATGATGAATATATTTTCATTGTTTTGCTTTTTTTTTTAATATTTCAGATAAAATAAATTAGAATGACAGATGAAACAGTACCACCAAATAATATTCGATCGGATTTGGTAATGAAATAGAAAATGATATAGAATTCTTTGAATTTTCTATATAAAGAAAATTAATGTGTTTGAGAATAGATTTAGTTATTGTAATGTCTATAGAACAATTATAATTAAAGAATGTTTCGAGAAATTTTTAAAATTCATTGGTTATTGTGAGGAAATCTAAGTATAATGCTGATTCGATATATTAACGTCAATCTTAATCAGAAGATGTTAATTGACTTACGACGAAGCTCATATGTTTTATTGAAAATGATAACAACTTTTAATAATCTTATCTACTTATTTGTCTTTATTTCTACAAAGATAAAGACTTCAGAATTTTTATCCTTCTTAATCGGAAACATTAGGTTGGACAAATACAATTAGAAATTCTTTTCAAAAATGTTATATCATAGAAATATTTTTAAAAAGAACAAACTTCTGTTTGAATTATAATTGACAACAAATAATAATAATCTTTGTCAACATTAAATACACTAGAAAAAATTATTTACACTAATTAAAACTAGAGATATGCAAGGTTATCTTACTCTGCAGGATAGAGCCCATCGAGTCCAAAATTTTTGGACGCGAATCCAGTTAACTGAAAAATTTCAGATCCAACAGCTTCTACTGCAGGATAAGGGTTAGAAAATATGTCTCGATCAGTCAAGGTATAGAATATGGAAAAGGCTTATTCGGCACATTTCTAATTAAAACCAAAATTTCAATCAAAATTGGCTATCTGTACTTATGAGAGAATTACCCGAGCTGTAACTCAACGTTCGAACCCCTATTGAGCCTACAAGGAAGCCTCAATGAAATTAGAAAAATCCTCAAAGAATTCCTGCCCATGGGTTTCTGGAGCTAAGTTATGACTGTGTTTCACTGAATTTTCGGCCTAAAATTCAGCTCATAGATAGAACCTCGTGACCTTTGGAATATTCTCAAAGTTTCAGCCGAAAAGAATGTTCTATTGTCGAGATATTAAATTTCCAACAAATATTCGCTTGTCACAAAAATTAAGTTTACTTAAAAATTCAATATCTTGACAAAGAAACATTCTTTTCGACTGAAACTTGCAGAATATTCCAAGAGTCATTTGACCTATCTATGAGCTGAATTCCATGGTCGAAAATTTTGTAGAACGGTCATACCGAGACTCTATGATAAGCTCAAACGGAAAGAGTTACAGTTCGGTTAGTTCCCTTATTATCATGATTAATAATTTAATAAAATATTTGTTGTTCAATTTAATGTAATTGATATGTTCTAGGTTGATATAGCAATTAGTTTTTTAAAGAATCCAAAAGTTGCTCATGAACCAATGGATAAAAAACGTGATTTTTTACAAAAGAAAGGTAAAATTGATTTGTAGAGTATTTTAAATCATTTATAAACTTGTTTATTTTTTTTTTCTAGGACTTACTGATAATGAAATTGATTATGCATTTAAAATCATACCACAACCACAAGGTTCGATACTAATTTCGAATAAACTAAGTCTCAAATTTCTTTGTTTTTAATAGAAACGCCTAAAGAAATTGTTCCTAGTCATCAACCATCATTTCTTCGTCGAATCTTATCTGATTTAATCTTAGCAGGAATTCTCGGATATGCATTAAAAATTATTAAACGTTGGTTTCAATCAGTACGATAAAAAAAAAAGTTTTTTCTATAAAATAAAAGAATAACTTTTTATATCATTCTTTTTTATGACAGAAACAATCAATAAAAACTAATGAATTAAATGAAACAATAAAAAATCTTCAAAAAACAGTACAAGATATGCAAACAAGTATTAATAAACTTGAACAAACAGCTGATCAATTTTATTCAGCTACAAATTCATCAACTATCTATGGGTTATCACCATTAGAAGAAATTAAACGTGAAATTCAAACATTGAAAAGTCTATATTTAAGTCGTTCTCAATTTCCACCAATTCCACAAGTACCTCCAAAAATTCCATCATGGCAATTAGATGCCGCAGAAGTAAATTTAAATTTTTGATTTTTATCAATTTAAAATTTTTCTTTTATAGAAATTGAAAGCTCGTGCATCACCTGTTATTGATGAAACAACTACTAAAAAAACGAATGATGATACTAAAGAAGATGGTGATAGTATTGTTTTAGTTTCTGAAAATGACAAAAAAAGTGATGATGGAAGTCGTTTATCATTAAGTCCATCATCAGAATCATCAAATGATGCATAATGTTTTTTTTTAAATAAATTCTTTTGTTTCTAAAAGTTTTTTTTTTTTTGTAATCATTTGTCGTATTTAAATCTTCACTATCATAAAATAAAAACTTGAAAATATTTATAGTTTTAGATTCAAAAATGCCTATTGAACGTGGTCTTCAATATTTAAGACAAATGCAAAGAGTTACTTTAAAAAATTTACCTATGCCTTTGGAAAAAACAGAAAAATGGAAAAAAGCACATGTAACAAAAAAAAAAGAATCATTTATCTAATATAAAAATATTTCTTTTTTTTTTCTTTTCATTGAAATTTTTAGCCTGATGAAAATACAATGAAAGCAGTTATGAGTAAAAAAGGTCCAATAGCAAGAAATTCATTACCACCATTTGGTATAGATCCAATTCAAGCTGAAGGACGTTTACCATGGATATTAACTGTACCAAAAGAACCTTATTATGAAGGTGTAGAGTATGTTTAATAAATTTTTACTTTTGAGATTATTTTTTTTTGCTTGTCTATATAATTAGAGAAGGAAGACAATATTTACCAATGTCATTACGTACTCTTCAACGTTTAATTGATCTACGTAGAGTTAATCCAGAAAAACCAATTGATTTACCTGTACTTTGTAATACAAAATTATTTTCTATTCAACCTGATCAAAGACAATTTGGTTTACAATTGACTGATGAAGTAAAAAATCTTTTAATTTTTTTTCTCTTTCTAACATCTTTAAAAGGAAAAAAGAAAGAAAGATTATATTTTTACATGAGTGAATATGTAACTATTTGCATGATTTAATAGATAGAAATCTTTAAAACAAAACGACTTTTTATCTATGAAATAGATTTGTTGTATTTCATCCAGAAACAAAAGAAAAACTATGGCAACATGTGATTTTTGATATAGTAAAGTTTACAAAAATCTTCATAGTAAACATAAAATGACAATCTAAATAGTAGTTAATATTACATTTTGAAATACACTATCAAAGATAAGATAAAATTAAACACAGTGTTTTATCCACCATGGGGGCAACGCACAGTGGTAGATCTAGGATTTTTATGATTGGGAAGAGGAAGAAGGAGCGATCATCATCATAAAACGTGTGTTGGAACTCATCAAAATCAGTATATGTGCTCCTTTTTAAGCCTTTTCTGCCAGAAAAATGCTGAGAAAAATCTTTTGGGAGAGGGGAGTGGCAGTTCCTTCCCATAAATATCTTGACTGACAATGCCCTCTTAGAATTCGGAACCAGAGATGAGATCGGTTCCGTTTCATATAATTGTGAACCGATCCCGTCCAAATCTGACACTCTAATACATTTGTTAACTTGTCTATAAGTTTTGATTCGGTTCAAAAAAAAAACATGAAGTGATACTATCTTTGTTCCGAACTATTGTGTCATATATTATATGTTCGTCCTTTCAGAGTTTTGAGTTGACCCTCCAGAAGTGAAAATTTCGACAAAACACTGGTAATACATCCATAAAAAAAAAGATTATTCGAAAGACACGTTTCGTTTTTCTCCAGTTTCTTTTTATGCTCACCAATTTCGAAAAAAAAAACACGTAACCTTCGTCTCTTCAATCTTGGCAGCTTTGAGACACCCCTGGATGCACATCTTCTATGATAAACTATGATTAAAAGTCTATTTCACTGTATATTTAGATTATTAATAATTGTGTAAATTCATTAATACTTAGACTTATTCAAGTGACAATCTCTTTGATTATGTTTTATAATACTTAAATATAAAGGGTTATTTTAATCTAAAAGCTTTATTATCACATAAGAAATTTTTTCTTTTCCATGAAATTAATTCTATTCATTTTATATTTATTTAGGGTGCTGATATATTTTCTACTCCAATTAATCTTGAAGTTCAATGGGTATCAAGTGAATTAGCTATAGCTGCTATTGAACGATGTGGCGGTGTTTTAACAACAAGATATTTTGATCCAATATCTATATCAGCATTAATTGATGCAAAAAAATTTTTTGAACGTGGTGAACCAATTCCACGTTGTGATACGCCACCAATAAATGCAATTGAATATTATACAGATCCAAAACAACGTGGTTATTTAGCAAATCCAGATTTAATACGTGAAGAACGTCAACGTTTAGCACAAAAATATGGTTATAAATTGCCAGATCCATCGAAATTATCTCAATTATTTTGTTTACGAAAAGATCCAAGACAAATATTTTATGGTCTTGAACCTGGTTGGTTAGTTAATCTCAAAGATCAAACAATACTTAAACCAACAGATAAAAAATTTGAAACATTCTATCATTCTTGAAACAAATAAAAAACACATTTATATATCTGGCAATGTTCTAATAAATAACTAATTGTGTAGAGCAAAATAAAAATTGGCAAAGGAAAGAGAGAGAGAGAGAGTTAGGGAAATAAATCTGTACAACATATATAATATGTTCTAAAAACAAACATATAATCTGACTGATGTCCTTTCTTTTTTAGTTTAATTTTAAAGACATCAATTATATTACACTTCAAATTCATCAGTCCATTCAACACTATTTCCAAGTAATTTATTGACTTTATTCCATTCACGTTCTCGTTCATATTGTGGATCGAGATTAAACCGTACTTTAGGCTTAAGAGAATTCGTTGTTGTTGTTTGTTGTTCATCAATACTATCAATTGATTTATTATGTGTAATTTTCATAATTGATGGTGGTAATGGTCGATTTATTGGTTGCGGTTGTGTTGTAACAAGTGCTGATAAAAGATCATCTTCTTGTAATATAAATATATCACGATCATTTGTACTCCATAAATTATTATTATTTGTTAGTTCTTGTTTTTGTGATAGTTCAAATTCACGTACAAGATCAATTTCGCCATTATCAGCACTTTCATCTGATACATCATTTGTTGAACTTTCTTGTGTATCATCTTCTTCATATATGGTTTGAGGATGTTGTTGTTGTGTTGATAAGATAACATCGTTTGTTGTCGATGTACGTAAAGGTGGAGAACGTACTGGAATTTGTATTGGTTCATTACTTGCCGAAGCAAATTTTTCTAATAATGATTCATCATTTGTATGATCAAGAGCTAAAAGAATTAAGACAAAAAAAGCCCAATAAGAAAAATCATTTCTGCTACTTTATTTTTTTAGTTATTATTTTAAATACATACAAAGTTTTTTAATTGGTATTGAAATAAGATCATTATTATGATTGATTTGTTCCGTTGAATGAATGGACGGATTTAATAATGATCGATGTATAACAATTGGTTTTTGTAATTCTTTTAGTTTATATTCATGTATAGAAAATTTTTTTTGATTTAATAATACATTATTATTATTATCATCATCTTCATCACATGATGTTTCAGATAATGTTTGATCAATAGATGATGATAATTTATTTCTTTGTTGTACATCAAAATGTTTGATTTCAGTATCAGGTGATGAACCAACATTTGGAAAACATTCTTTTTTATTATTATTGTTATTATTGAATTTATGACGATATTTTGGTATTGTGACATCCCAAAAGTGATCATCAACTGGTGATGACATTGGAAGAAAATCATCATCAACAAGAACACCGGATGGTTTAGTATCATCATCAAATTCAAGACTATTGAAAGTGCGTGCTGATGTTAGAGTAGCAATAGATGATGATGTTTCATAAATAGTTCCAGGGTTAGTAAGAGTAATAGGTCGAAGAAGTTCGTGTCTATTATTATTAGTTGATTGAAAATCTTTTGAATGTGAATGTCCATTTGTTATTATAGTTGTTGGTCGTGCAATAGAATTATCTGATGGATAATTATATTTTGAATGTTGAGATGGAATTGTAATAGGTGCTGAATTACGTATTATTTGACGATAGTCACCCTTTTATAAGAGAAAAATAAAATAAAATATTACTTCTGCATATTTAATCCAATTCAATGATTTCACTTACATTGCTAGTCTGTTTTTTTCTTTATAAATAGTGAAAAGAATTTAATGCATTTACAGCGGAACTTATTTTAATAATACATGAGTAAAGCTCGAATATAATATTTTATATTGATATAGAAAATATTCTCTTTTTTTCTGTTTCTTTTTTTTTTGCAAGACTGAATATATACATTCTAATAGAAACTTAATGGACTTACTGTTTCTAATTCAGATGATATATTTTTCACCGGTTTAAATACTGTTTGTTGTTGAATTATTTGTGAACTTTGTTGAGTTATATTATTATTGATACTATTGAGTATATTCAAATCTGAATCAGTACCATATTTTAATAGATCAGAATCTAGATGATCGATATATGAATTAATTTCATCATTGTTGTTGTATTTTGAACGAACATAATCATCAAATTGTTCAATAGCACTCGCTATTAGATGACTACATGGCTGATGACCATTTAGACGATCAATACTTTCCACAGGTGACGTCACTGTTGTTGTGCTCGAAGCACTGTCATCAATGAAGCGAAAACGTTCAATTTTTTGCATGAAATCTTTCCGATAGGATGAAATTGAAGATGATTTTATTGGCGTTATACTTGAAGACTTTTTCTTTAATTGATTTTTTGAAATCAATATTTTAGCTTTTAATAATGATGTTCGATCACTACTATCTGAATCAGCTGTACTTGATTGATTGTTATTGTTATTATTATTATTATTATTATTATTATTATGAATTGGAAGAGAAATATTAGGTGACGTTATTGTTATTTTATTTTGATTCGTTGAATCAATTATTGGATTAACTGTTTGTGATTGTTTACTAAATGAACTACGACGAAGCGCCGATGATAGTGAAATTCGACGACGAGATTTCAAATCGACACGATTACGAGTTTTATTATCATCACCGGCACTTTTACTGCCAACGGCAGTTGTAACTGTCGATGAGGAAGAAAGCGGATGTGAATTTGGAGAACGTACGAGGGGTAAAAGAGCATTGAGCGAATATTTACGAGTATTACGGTCCGTTGAATCCTTAATAGTAGAAGCAAGTTCCGATGTTAACAGTGGCGTTTGATCATCACACTAGAAAAAGAAAAAAAGATGAATAAAAAAAAAAAGGAAAAGAAGAAAAAGAAGAAAGAAGAAGAAAGAAGAAGAAGAAGATGATGAATAAGATGATCATTTTTTTTTTACTACTACTTTGAAATTAATCGACCTATATTTATGCAAGTACCTACCATATCATTTTCGTTTGATCTCGTTATTTCATTTCCAAGCGATGATGATGTTAGTAATATGGATTCTGAAACCACTTTAGTCGGTGTTATTTCCGCTTCCACTGATATCTCATCATCTTTTTTTTCTAGGTTTTTATTCTGAAGAGAAGGCTCAAAATTCTGATGTTGCTCATGAAAATGATTAGCATCGTTTTCTTGTAAATATTCACTACTGTGGACCACCGGTATTGTTGATATCGTATGATTTGTCCTTGGAGCCACTTCTTCGAATCGATGAGATGATTCGACGATATTCCTCTCAGATGTAATAGTAGCAGCAGGAGTAGTAATAATTTGTTGTTGATTATTTTTTAATGTTTTATTTTTAGTTGATTGTTGACGATTAGGATGAGGATGAGGATGAGGATGATGATGATTTCGTGTATTTATACAAGGTAAACAAAATTTACGAAGTGTTGGTGACGACACTTTGATATACCTATTTGATGTTGTATGTCGTCGTTGTCGTTGATCATGCACGTTAAAAACAAGTGAATAACGAACTGTATTTGGACGACATAATATATGTGGTGGAACCGTGCAGAGGATCAAACGACGTGATTGACAATGAATAGAAAGAATTGTTAAAGAAGAAAAGGACACATAAATAATAACAGGTAGTTTATCTTAGAAATGATAACATCAATGACGATGTGCACATAATCCAAACATGTCAATTGACTCGACAACGTTCAACTGTTTTCTATTCGGCTCGCCGAACGACATTCTTTTTTTGTATTCGCATTCTTTTTCATTAACATGACAGCAAGAATCTTTTCTCGTCCTTTACGCTCTCATGGTATTCTCTGTTCTATTTATGATATTTGTTTCTGTTGGTTGGTAGAGTGAGCGAGCATAGAAACAGCAACATTAACTGCGAGCGAACGAGAGAAAGACGGAGCTCAAACAAGAGAAAAGCATGTTCCCTTCCTTCTTCTTCTCTTTCTTGTTCTTATTCTTCATTTTCATCTTCATCTTCTTCGAGTTTGCTGGCTTACTGGCCGCCTAGACATCGCTCATACGCATCATCATCAAAAACGACTCGTCGTTCTTTCTATTTATGACAGCACTCGTATTGGTAGCAGTAGTAGGAATAGCAGATAGATTCAATTTGCATTAACGAAATCATAAGCCTGCCTGAGCACACACTGTCGGTGATGACACAGAGCCCATGCATGCATCTGTGTTACTGCTATCTGCAACTATGCAATGGAAGCGACAGTAACACTAAATCCTTTCTATACGTTGATTCTTTTGATGTTGTCATTGATGGATATATAGCTTTTATAGCTGACAGTTGATTCTCTCAAACAAATCTGATCTGACTATTGTCATGACCAAGAAGAAAAAGTCTTCAAAAAAAAAACCCTAGTTAGATTGATTGCAATTCTATTCGATTATTTCAATATAATATCTTTATTATACTTGGAACATATATTTAGTTACTAAATTGAATTTTGATAGCTTATCAGAATAGAAGAAATAGAAAAAGAATTGGTGTCAAAATGACTTTCTTCTTTTTTTTTTTTTTTATGTTGCTTTTTTTCTTTGTCTGTGTGTTTGTTGCTACTACCGCGCATTTTCATTTTCATGAGAGTGCACATAAACGAGTTTGCGTATAACTACTTGCTTTCTTGCATGCACGCACAGGAAATTGATTTTCGTCCCTAGACGAATTGATGTCGTTATTCTGTATACATCTATGTGTTAAACACACACTAACAAATAACGGTGAACGGACTTTCTTGGCATTTATTCATAAACACAATATACATAGAAATTTATATAACCGTACATATATGTACATATACAAAACGTGTCTCGATAAACATCATAGAGAATGTTCTTATTTGCGTTCATCTTTGTCTAGTTATATGTTCTATAAAGATTGACAGTCCCGACATTTGTTTAATCGGTCGATGGTAACTGAAAAAGAGCACTCTATGAACAAGCTGGTAATGAAATATTGATGAATTCTTATGTAAAGAGTTCTGTAAATAGAAAAATTGTTTGTCCTTGCAAGAAAAGACAATAATATAAAATCAACATCGAACAATATGCTACCTGTCACCCGATTACGTATATATATATATATATGGATAAGTAAATGTTGTAACGCTTAAAGCAATCGTAAATAAAAAGATACTTCTTCTTTTGCAATATGCATGATTTTGTTGATCATTTATCTTTCCCAACTTATCAATTAATAGATATTCTGTTAGGATATATATGGGTATGTGCTTGCACAATGCTACCAGTACCAGCACATATGCACGAGTTAAAATGATTATGATGGTCTTGCACAGAGCAAGATAAACAAGTGCATATATGTGTGCATAACCAACTGATTGATTTGTAATTGCTTGTGACATTTGTATGGACTGATGCTTATCTTATTTTTTTTAAGATGGCGTCTCTTATCGTTTTCAAAAATGAAAAAATAAAAATAGAAAAAAAAACAGAACCTACCCGACTTATTCCAATAGTAGAACAAGACTTGCGTACAAATGGTTTTATAGCAATAGATACGTATGAATTATTAATATTATTTGATGGCTTGCAAGAAGATGTGACATGATGATGATGTGTAGTAGTAGTTGTTGTTGGCGGTGTTGCTGTTGCTAATGATTCTACTGGTAAAGATGATAAAATAGTATTAGCTGTTGGTTTCGATAAATGATTACAAGTAGGAACACTAAATCGTTTTGTAGATGATGAATTATTTATATGTTCGTCAAAACGATTGTCAGGTGTTTGAGAATATTTACGTGTATAATACTAAAATAAGTTCGAAAGAATTTTAAAAAAAATCAGAATAATCTAAATCAAATTATTATATGCATATACTAATACACTCACCATCTATGACTTTCTTCCAACTAACACATTTATTTAAGGAAAGCAAATATGTAGGTGAATAAGGAAGTCTATATTCTCTTTTCTTTTTCTCTCTCTTAAGTAATAGAACGTCCCAAATGCTCATATATCCTATATATAATCAACTGAGAAATACACATATCAATCCAGCTATCGAGTTGATTACACAACTAACATATCATCATCATCATCATCATCATCATCAACGATACACGTTTATTCTGTCAATCTTCCGAATATGTACTAAGATAAAACTTGATTTACTCCTATTTAGTTTTATTCTTAATCATATGCGAATCATCTCTAGAAGAAATGAAAAAAAATTGACTATTAATCAGTTTGTTAGTACACACGCCAAACAATTCTTTAGAAAGCCTGAAGGACATAAACATAAACCAATTTAGAAATCAACCTATACTAATGTCGTACATCTTTTTTTGCCCTCTTTCACTCTTTATTCTTCCTGTTCTCTGCTCTCATTACGATTGAATGAGTGATGACAACGTAATACTAGATTACTTGTTACAAGAAAAGAATAAGAAGCATTGAACCATATAAAATAAAAGAAAGCAAGAAAGAAAGAGAGAAAGAGAGAACGAAACATATTGATATCTTGCTGTGTCAAATAAAAAAAAATATTTTTAATGATTCAAACACTTACTACTTATAATTCAACAGGATACATTCATCATTATGACAACGAATGACAATTGTTCACGATATTATTACGATGAGAGAACAACTTTGTGTCTTGTTCCGTTCTTTATTATAATGATGTGACAGATAGAGGAATAGACATATAAAGAAAGAAACATAGAAAAGCTCAATCTAGACAAATGATGAGAAACATGCATGCTGTTGTCGATCTTGCTTTTCATATTGGAATATACACGCAAAAGAAAGACAAGTGATGATGCCAGTATATGCATCATGTCACGCAAATCCGGAACGGAACATGTTAGATTTCCGTGATGTTCTTTCTTTCAAGGTCGATATGAGCATGAGTATATCGAATGCCTGACTTCAGTTTCTTTCTTTTTTTCTTTTTCTTTATTCATCATCTTATTCCACTAAACCGATCATGATGATTGATATGCATATATTAAAATATATATATTTTATGACAAGAGAGTTTTCTTTTTTTTTATAGCTGCAGGCATCAAATGAAAGTATTATGAATGATCCAACTGAAAGGGTTTTTTTTTTCTTCTCACGAAACAAAATATATACACATCATCACTCGTCAATATGATGATCGATTGATATACATTTGTTTCTTCTACTTTTGTTTACTCTATTTATATCAGTAGTTCACCGACATCTTTTTTTGTCGTCTAACTAAACAATCATAATTCTATCCTTTTCTATAATAGTTATTACTAAGATACTAAATGAGAAAAAACTCGGACCATATCTATATATATATATATATATATATATATATATAATTACATGTCTCGAGCGCAATGATGTAATAGAAAAATATTTCTTTCCATATTAGTTTACTAAATAAGTATATACTCGAAAAGAAATGGAAATGAAAGATTATCTTCCAAACTTCTTTTTTCTTTTTTCTTTTCTAAATACTTCTTATTTATTATTATCCATGATATCATTCGCTACGTTACAGATATATATACTTACATTATAATATTCTGAAGGTATAGACTACTTAAAGAGTCTTCCGGGTTCTCTTTTCTATCTCTTAAATATGACCGTAGAGCACTTGATTATGAGAATAGATATAAAAGTAGCGGAAGTATGTTTCTTGAGACCGATTTATTACTTTATATTTGGAATGCTCGTTTTCTAACGAGTGATGATGGTGAAACTTTTCTATCGGATGACGATATTATTGTTACTGATGATGATGATGATGATGACGATGACGATGATGATGATAAAGAGAAGATAGGGAATAGAACGAAGAGAATTTATCGACTGACATAGGACAGCATCAACATAAGGCAAGATGCATATACGCATACTCGCACATATATACAATAATAAGCGATGACGGAAGAAATAATGCGTTTTGAGGGAGTTGACGCTTCTTACTAGTAATACTTACTGCTCATCGCACAAAAGCCAATAAATAATAATCAGCATTGATAAACAGACACGTCCCTGTTTCTATTCTTGATTTACGAAAAAACAGAGCGGAAAGAAAGAAGAACAAGAAAGGAAAAGAATCGAATGCGCACTAGACCAAAGAGGTATCTACTGATTGAACAATATGCTAGGCGATTTCTATTTCTTTTTTTTTTGACACATGCTCACATATATTGTATAAAGATCCACAATTCGCCGCCTTCTAATACTCGTTGTTCTTTCTGTTCCTTTCATTTTTTTTTCTGCCTTTCCGTCTCTAATAATTTTTTATTTTTTTGATATTTGTTCTATTTCTATAATATCGTTGGTAAGTCAGGATCGATGTCTTCTTCATTGCTTTTTTTCTATGATGAAAGCGACAGCTCTTGATGTTATTGACAGCTTTCGAGCATCAAAGACAGAACAAGTTGTATTCATTTAGATCTTTCTTTCCTTTTTTTTCTCTTCTTATTCAATCGTTATATATGTCACAGCTGTTTGCACACAAATTGACCTTGGGCACTTATTTCTTTTTATTTTATTTAATTTTTTTTCTTTTATAATACTTACTCCAATACTTCCTCGTCTTGAACTTGGTTCACTATATTGTCGAGCACGCTGTCGAATGATTTGTGTTTGTATACTATGTGTTTCTTGATCGCGACATGCGTTTCTAGAATAAGAAATAAAAAAAAAAACTAAATTGAATATGGGCAGACGTATTGACCATAAATGATAATTTTATTAATGAATAGACAATGCTCGCATTGTTCAGGGGAAACGTTAGTGTAACAAAGAAAATTTATTTTCTGTTTTATCAAATGATAGAAAGAATTGGTCTTTGAAAGAATGAACAAAAAAAAACACATACATACACATAAAGAGAAAGCTTAAAAGAAAATCAATCTCATTTCTTTTTTTTTTTGTTTCTTGAATGTACGCTATAATAAATGTAGAGAAGAAGCAAGAAAAGAAAATAGATGCAAGACGAATCATTATCTTTATTATGTATGACTGGATTAGCATATTATAATAAAGACTAAAATTGCATTGATAACATTCTTTCTTCAAGACAAGCTACAACTTATAGAAGATAGAATGAATCTATCATCAAAGAATATAATGCATATACATATATATATATATTTATATATCTGATGATGGTAAACAAGAAAATATAAAAAGAAACATTTATAAACATTGTTAGTTTATGTATATTGCAGATCATGTTTTTATCATGGAATATATTATCATAAGATCTCAATGTTGAGAATCTATTCTATCACAAAGATAAAAATTTTGTTTTTTGTTTTTACTTTTAAACAGAGAGTTAAATGATTAAGTGATGTTCGATTGCCAGTTATATCTATATTACTTAATACAAATGTGATAACCCACAATCAAGACAATTTTTAAAGACGAAATGGATTGTACAAGAGAATCATCCAAATTGTTAGCCGCCTTTTGAGTACATATTAGGTTTACAAGAATATCTTCATTAGACTAGCAGAAGTCTAAAAGAATTTGTCTTCGTCAATCTTTGGAGAAAAGTTATGTTTCTTCTTCTTGAACTTTCGATTTAGTTTTAGTTATACCGAGTGCGGCAAAAGTTTTGCATGTAACTCTATTCAGGAACATGATCAAACGTTGATCTTTTCTTTTCAAAAGATGTGTCATAGAATATTCTACTCGAATTATAAAACCAAATCTTTAACATATTGGTAACCCTGAACAAGTGTATCATCTTATTATTTCATACAAGGAAACATAAGAGAAAGCCAAACATTATTGAATTTTGTTCATTCCTTTTGGCTATAATATTTGAAACTAATCAGAGATTTGGTGTGACCTTCAGAGTGAAAGAATTATTATTCATCCTCATCTCAAATACAAGTAAAAGCTAATGTCTATGTCAATTGATTTAGATACTTCTCTCTGAAATAAAACATTTTTTGTTGTATTGTTCTCAAATATATCGTCTAAAAACAATGAATTCAATGCACAAATCACTAGATTCAACTTTCTCGATCGTTGAAAGAAATGGTAAAAAAGAATTAAGCTTAACAAAATAATACAATGAGAATTTAGCTTTAACTGAAGATGAATGAAAATACGTTGTAGAGGAATCAGTACTCATCTCGTAGGAAGTATTGGTGGAGTGATGAATATTTTGGTTTTTTTTTTACAATGCCTGGGATAATCCATTTTTTAAAAATGACCTTTTCCGATTTTTCTTCCAGGGACAGTACATATGTTCAGTGTTAGCAGTCTATTAAAATTTTGAAAATAGTTTTAAAATTTGGTGTTATGATTCGAATAGAACATTCAATTGGGCATCTTTTCAAAACAAAAATTAATGTTTTATCATGTTTCTGAACAGACTTACATGCAAAACAAATAATATCACAAAACTTTTGCCACATCTGATATATCGAGAAATCCCAAAACAATTATTTCAACTTGAAATTTATCCCACAAAATAGATTGAATGATCAGTAAAATATTCTGATAATTTCAGCCGAAAAGAATATTCTTTTGTTGAAATATATCGAACTTCTAAAAAAATAGTCGATTGCATCAGATATGTTACAAAAATTGAGTTTACTTGAAAATTCAATAACTTGACAAGAAAAAAAGATTCTTTTTGGCTGAAACTTTCAGAATATTCTATAAATCATTAGATATTATCTATGAGCAAGAGTTCAAGTTGAAATTCTGCTCTTTGGTTTTTTGAAGTACACTCAGTAAACCGATCATAATTGAGCTTCAAACACCCATAAAAAAATATCTTTTTAGGCTTCTGTTAGTCTCATTAAGACGTCCTTGTAGGCCCAATATGAACTCATATGGCGTCTGTCAGTTTGAATGTTTTCCTCATTAGTATAATAGAAAGACGTCTTGGACATGTTAATATTACTTAAAGAATTATTGTGAAATTTCTTATCGAGAAAAATTCTTATTAAGTTTCAAATTAGGATGATGTAACCAATCATTAGAAGTAGATTTTTCTTTTGGAAACGGTGAAATAGTTTACATACTTCATGATTGAAAGGATAATCACGTCTTTGATTATTTCAGCTCCAAATATAGAGAAAAACAATTGATTTCATTCATATCTAACTTTAACTCTCATGTCGTTTTCATTACATCACGAAGATCTTTTCATTGCTTCCAGTATCAAATAAAAAAATGGAATCCAATCTTCAACCAAATAGCATGTCGATATTTCTACTACTTCACTCTTTGGTATAGTCCAATATTAAAGAAAATAATAATAATAAAGTGCAAAAAAATTCATATCTGTTTAGCGAGACAAAATTATATTCAGGTCAAAGAAGACATAGAATTCTCTAATGTCTTTTGAACGTCACTTTGACGACAGATGATATGCATAGTCATCAACTTTTTAATATTTCAGCTTCATTAATCTCTTAACTTTCCATTAAGAAAGACAAGAAGACTATAATTTAATTGTTTCTTTGAAAAGCTACTGGAAGGTCCTACTGATATTCTAAAAATAACATACATTAGACTGAATCTTTTTTAGATATCTTTTCATTCGTTGAACTCTTAGTAAATCTTCTCTTTCAAGTATAAATTTCACACACAGATATTTTTAGAATAGATATATTCATGATTATTTTTAAATAATATATTAATCAAGAATATGATTTTATTTTAACGATAAATATTTGAATAAGATAGATCATATTTTCTATTAATTTAAATGACACGTTCAATCCAATGACAAGATAAATATTACTGTAGATCATGACAAAATTACACAATAAATCATTTGTCTAACATAGACAGCATCTTTCTTTTTCTTTTCCAAAATTTAATATATATAAAATAAAATTTTTCTTCTTCATATCGAGGAAAATATACATATATATTTATTCTTATTATCCATTAATATTTTTACTTACAATTCCTTTTAGTAAACACCTACAAAAAAAGAAATAATTACTAATAGTTGATTGTCTTCATTACAGAAAAACTCAGGTTTTCTTTAAAAGAAAAAGAAAACATTTTATGATTTTATTTTATTTTTTTTCGAGTGAATTATTAAAAATAATTTCACTCCTTTAATGAAAGTCATTTTAAACGTATATTTTATATTGAAATAAACATGTAGACTCCATTAAATAATCTTTTTAAAATTTTCTTTTAATAATAAAACCCTGGAAAAACATTAAAAATTATTATTTGCTATTAAGAAAAACATTTGATTGATGGAAAAAAAAAAACTCTTAAACAGCAGTTCGATGAAACAAAAAAAAACGCTTTTTATTTTATCATTAACAGAAAATATAAAAAGAAAAAGAAAATATTCATGTATTAATAATTCTATTCTTTTCTTAAAAAAATCGATATCATGTTTAACTATCCTCTTTTTTTTTGTTTTTATTATACAAAAGATAAATAACACTTACAAATCAGTAAATATAATAGATGACAAATTTTTCTTATGTATACCCATCTTATTTTTATAACATTAGTAACTAAATATAAATATCTTCAATTCAAAATGTTTTATTTGTTCAATATGTAGTTAAATTGATGTCTCGACAATCATCACAATTTTAACGACAATAACTTCTAATCTTTTTTAATGATGATCAAATGAAATCATAATAAGAAACATGTGGACAAAATCGAAAGACACACACGCATGTATAGATGTGCTCATTCAAATAAATATCAAATTACTTACTTAAATCGAAATATAGCCATGATAAATATAATAAAACTAATAATAATCACAACAGTGAAAATAACTTTTATCTGTGTTTTTGTTAAGTCTAGAAAAAAAATCACAAATTTGTCTGTTTTGTTTTTTGCTCTTTTCTCATTTGTCTTTTTTGTACTTACTTGATCCATCTTTCATAAAACTATATCTCAAAGAATTATCAAAACTTTGAAATTTATTCATTGATAAATTTATATGATTTTTAATTGAATCATTTGTTAAACTTAATGTTGAATCAATAAGATTTACAGATGAATGAGATTTTCTATATTGATTTACTAATAATGTTGATGATTGAATAGTAGTTAATAAAAACATTGTTAATATACTATTACTAAAAGAATTTTTTCTATTAATTAATGATAAAGATCTAGGAATTAATAAAATAATAATAAGAATAATACAAATATTCATTTTCTTTGAACCATACACTCATTTTGATTAAAATTGTTTTTCGTGATGTCTACAAACAAAAAATGATGACTTATTTAAAAACATTGTATATATTTTTATTGTTCTCTCTATAGAATAAATAGACAAAAAGATAATGTAGATTATGTTAACCTTTATAGATTATCGTGTGACAAAAAAGAAATTCTCGCGCTTGAATAATTCAATCAATTCATTCATGGAAGCAAGTACCGTTCACGCAAAGTGTATGTAGTATTATGAAATCCAATATCAGCTTCAGGACAAGATGCGATAAAAAAAAAAGAAGAAATGACACTATCACCCTTTATAAGATGTGTGTGCATCTACTCGCTTTCTCTTCTTTCCTTATAAAAATGATCGTCTTGTTGCAAGGCTTCTTTAAGCAGTACTCAACAACGTTATTGCTCATGATGCAACACATCACACTTTACATAGAATAGCTATTTAAACTGTTAAATTCAATTAGTTTTATATCCCATAGTCTATTCTCATTCTCAAATCATAGATTGTTCAAATAAACATAAATCCCTATCATATTTTGTTTCCTACTTCACATGAAGGTTGTTTGTCTAGTTTCTCTTTCTATTGACAATACCGAGAAGAAAAACTTATGGCATGATCAATAAATATAATACATGAGGATTTTTCTCATTTTTTTTTTCTTTTTCTTTTTTTTTATATGCACGTAGACATTTTGCAAATTAATCTACTCTTGTTCAAATTATGTATATATGTATTTATATAATACAAAATATTACTATTATTTTATAGACATTACTATATTGAAGTAATCATTAGAATACATTGTCATGTACTTACTTAGATTTCAAATATTGTCTAACGTTTAAATGATGAAGAGGAATAGATGAAAAGAAGAAGCAAACAAACCATAATCATCATGCTATGAACACATAGACTTCTGTTGCCTTGTTCTTTTTTTTTCTAGGTAATGTTTTAGAACTTTTATGAAAGAATATGGAGACAAATATCCATCAAAATTTTTTTTTATTGTCGCAGGAAAAGGTGCATATATATATATATATTCTATAAAGATAGGGTAACGCTGTGTTCTGTTGATCATATAAGCGTACTGATGCTTCATTCCCTAATTATGTGTTGATGGAAAATTGAAAAGGAAATGGGCAAGTAAAGAACTCTTTTATAACTATTGATGTCAAAAGAAAAAAGAAAAAGTAATATAATAGTTGTTTTGTTTCTTTGTTTTTGAGCTTCAATATTGTCCTAGATTCTGATAAATGAGGTAAAGCATAGAATTTAGATAATTATTTTCAATTAAATACTAAGGTTATCTATTTTTTTTGTTTTTATCTATTTCAAAGAAATATTCTTAATTTACTAATGAATGAATTAGTAACAAAAAAAAACAGATTTTATTTATGTATATAGGCATCTGGATACCTTCAATCGATGAAAACAATCCAGCCGCTTCTGATCATTAACAGGTTGTTGATGATTTTCTTTTCATCATATTATATATTGGTTTCAATGATTATTTCAGGACAACTTACACAAAACAAATAAACAAAAATAAATAGTAAGAATAGAATACATCTTTTATAGAATTACTTCAACAATGCATACTTGCTCTTTTTATTTTTTTTTCTTTTCTTGATAGAAAGTGTGGATTCATCAAAGAGAATAGACGAAGAACATATATAGTAATTGTAACAAAAAAAATAGGACTAATTTGCATCGTCGTGCAACAATATTCTAATTTAAGTATGGTGAAAAAACTCAGTCAAGATAATGAAAATGAATTCCATACAAAATCTCAAGACACAGGCAACTAATATTTTATATCGATAATTTCACACATATTCAAAGAATAGGAGTAAAACACATTAGTTGATTGTATATCATCGTTATTATATAATTCGGTTTTTTTCTTATAATAAAAAATTTATTATGTATTTCATATTTGTATCGATTGTGATTTTAATAGATAAACTAATAATTTGAAGTTAGCACTATTAATAAAAATAAAATTTTATCAAAACATATGAAAAAAAAGACTTAATTAAAAATTAAAATAATCATACATTAAAAATAGTGCATGACTCTTATTATATTTAGCCGGATGTTCAAGTTCCTGGAACGTGTTCAAAAAGAACATGCAAACAGATAAACAAATATTTTCAATTAAATAAATTATTACAACAAACTTTTAAATATTCTATTATAAGACACCGTTTCTTTCATTGACATAAATTCAAAATCTCATTCAATTCTATAAATTATTATATTAAAAAAAACAAAAAACAAATTTATTCAATGCTTATAAAATAACAAAAATAATTAGAATAGCAAACATACATAAAAGTAAAACTATTATAGCAATAATTGGTTCATGTATTCGTGAAAGTTCCGTAAAGTCTCTTTGTATGATGTGTTGATTAATTCGATAATATCGATAAATACTATAAAATAAAATGCTAATACCAGCAGTAATTAAAACTAAACCAGATATAATTGGTTTCATTTCATGAAATGAATTTTTAAATGTTTTTTGAATATTATCCGATCCACCAAATCTTGCAATAGCACAACCAAATGCAAATATACCAAGACCAGTTCTTATCCATGCTAAGAATGTACGTTCATTAGCTAAATGATCTGCAAAAGAATCTTGGGATTTATTAAGTATTGGTTCGGATGAAGATTTTAAAATTGCTGGATCCACTAAAGGTGAACATTCGACCATTTTAATCTAAATAATTAAAAATTCAGAATTCATCATTTAACAAGAAAAAAAAGGTACAAAATAAAAATTTTTCTATAATAACGTATCAAAAGAAAGGTTAATCAATAGGTTTGCTAATATATGTTCGTATACAAATTTTATATCTGAATGTTTATTTTTACAGTGGTTAATTTAACTGTTATGAAGTTTTCATTTTAAATTTTGATCAGAACTGTGAACATATTCCTTGTTCATACTTAAGTGTAATAAATGAGTACAAAAAGTACAATCGACTGTAATAATGACAACTTTTAGCAAGGTTGAATCGTGGTAAAAGTGATCACATGAGAAAGGAAAAAAAAACGTACGATCACCTTTATAGTTAAAAAGTCGTTATGCAATACTTTATCTTGATAAAACGACATACAAAAAAGAAAAATAGATCGTTTATTCTTATTGAGAGTACAATTCATATTTCTAAAGAACATTTAAAATGAGTTTTTTTCCGGACAATATGTATGACTAGACTTTTTCCTCAGGGAGAGTTCTTGTTATTAATGCCTTGAAGATTTAATATAAATATTGTAAAAACTGTGGATATTATATTTTCTATCGACATAAATATTTATAATCAATTTACTCTATTTAATGTATTTAATAATAGAATTGCTCATAATTCCTTTTCAGTTGTTCAAATACTTTTTCCTTTTTGTTTTATCTTTATGTTTAAATTTAATGCTTGCATATATTCGTTTATTATTTGTATATCAACTTAGAAAGATTTCAGTGGTTTGTCATCTAATAGGCACAGTATGCTAAATCTAATTTGCCATTAGCAAACTGCAGGATGTGTCTGTTGCCATTTATAAATATAAGTTCAGTTAATTTATCCATTTGTCTCATAATTATCAAGTCACATCGTCTCATGGATATAGTGAGAACAACCAATCCAAGATGTAAAGAATAAATTTTTTTCTCTCATATTAGTATTCCATATCTTTGTTTGAATAATTAACAGAAAAGTAAAAAGAGTACTCTAAGCCATAATGCTTATGCTGATAATCTTGTCAGAAGGTCGATTTTTACAAAAGCTTACTAACAGCAAAAATTGAGAATATCAATTACCAAGATACTGAAAAGAGATTGTGTCAAAAATAAAAAGTCATATAAATACAACACTACATACCAAACTAAAAAAAGAAGATTTCATCATAATTTAATATGCTAAGATTTTCAAGCATATCTGGATTAATAATCTTCATATTATTAATTAATATGAACTGTAGTCTGAACAATTAAAAATTGAAATTGAAATTGAAATTTTACTTCTTTGAATTTTATGATGATGTGTTCTCTTGTTTTTATATACTATAGACTGATATGGATTGGTCATATATTTACTATTATAATCCTTCAGTGGTTCTCTATTTATACTGTATAACTTAGATTTTTATCTTTGTGTATGTGTATATATAATTTCAACTGTAGTGATTTTTCACAATTTGATTTTCATTTGCGCAATAAACTTTGTTTCACATATTTTCTTTTTGGTATGTATACATGACACTGTGTATTAATATATTCCGGAATAACTTTTTATATTACCCTTTCTCTCTTGTATTATGGCACATAGAGCTCACCTGAAGGTATAGTGGTTATGGTCTCTGTATACGAACAAGTGAACTCTATATGTCATAATATAAGAGAGAAAGTGTAATATAAAAAGTTATCCCGGAATGTATTAGTACACAGTGTCATGTATACGTACCATAAAGAAAATATGTAAAGCAAGGTTTCGTCTGCAAATGAAAATCAAATTGTGAAAGATCACTACAGTTGAAATTATATATACACATACACAAAGATAAAAATCTAAGTTATACAGTATAAATAGAGAACAACCAAAGGATTATAATAGTAAATATATGGCCAATCCATATCAGTCTATAGTATATAAAAACAAGAGAACACATCATCATAAAATTCAAAGAAATAAAATTTCAATTTCCATTTTTAATTGCTCAGACTATAGTAAATTTCGAATAAATTAAAGTTAATCATTATATTACAATTTTCAATAAGTATTCACTAGCATATAGCGCCTTCAAAACTGAATGGTCAAATTTGATAAGATTGATGATTCATCTCTGCTTGGTACGTTATATGTATGCACATATCGACACAC